AGAGAGAGAGAGAGAGAGAGAGAGAGAGAGAGAGAGAGAAACGGGGCGGGGAAGGGAGAGAGAGAGAGCAAGAGCGTGCCAGAGAGAGGGTAAGGAAGTATTTTGCGGTGATACACAAACGGTCGCCCCCCCCCCAACGCCGCGTAGCTGTAACCACTATCGCCTCCGTTGCTCAGCATTGCGAGATAAGGCGGCATCGAGACCTTTACATTTTCAGAGCCGCGCGAATCACAAGGAATGTTTGCGGTCATCAACGAACCCTTGGTCTCCAAAACTCCTGGCTCTATCCACTGTATCCGCTTCGCTCAGTCAGCATCACATTGGCGTGGCCACGGAGCGTACGTAGTGTCAGAGAACTATATATTACACGAGATCAGACTCACGCTCGCTTCCTAGCAATGCGTTCTGCGAATTAGTGCGCTTCTATCATTAGCAAGTTCCGCGACGGCATCGGAATTAAAACCTAGCTCATTCGCGTAGATTAATTTATATATAGTGGCGTGAACCTGTGTATGCTTATAGGTCCACGATAATGGTGACGAACTTATAGTGTTGTTTGCACATCGTGATGGTTGATTTGCATCTAGACTGCACGAAGCCGGTGCGCATGCGCGTAAATAGTGTTATAGTTCTTTGTATAGGTATTGTATTAGGTGAAATTATTTTGCATACCAGCGCGTGACATTTTGATATTTGACGTAGGTACAGAGTGTGTATCGCTATACTTAACAAAGTTCTGGAGACGTAGGTGCGGAAACATCGGCTCGTATTGTAGTAGACTGGCCGGTTTTTTCCCCAAAATGCATTTACCATGTCGACGCGATAATCGTATCAGTGATGAAAGTATTATGAAAAACGGATAACCTAAGATTATAATCTCAAGTTATCTATTTTTTGGTATTATTAAGCGAAAGACACTGTAATTTTACTTGATACGAAAAGATTTGCTAACGTTATATACACTGCGTTATAACGAAAACGCGCGCAAGAGGAAAAAATGGCGGCGAGCGAGAAACGTCTCGTCTATATGTAAAGAAGAACATTGTATTTTCTATCGGTATCATGGTGGCCTAGGCTGGCATTTACACACGCGTAATGTTGACTGGCTTAGATAGTTTTTTATGGTGCTAGTAAAGTATTTTGTCGGTGACGATGCGCGCGCGCGTGCGTGCGTGCGTGCGTGCGTACACGCTCACGAGTTGTTCTGTTTAGTAATGTATTTAGTAATACGGATTAGTACGCGAATCGCGCGCGCGCCGCGTAATCACAGGTGTCGTCGTCTCTGTCAGGGTGAACGTCGTCATCGCTGTCAGGGTGAACGTCGTCGTCGCTGTCAGGGTGAACGTCGTCATCGCTGTCAGGATGAACGTCGTCATCGCTGTCAGGGTGAACGTCGTCATCGCTGTCAGGGTGAACGTCGTCATCGCTGTCAGGAGTGAACGTCGTCATCGCTGTCAGGGTGAACGTCGTCATCGCTGTCAGGGTGAACGTCGTCATCGCTGTGAGTGATGATGTTCCCGCCTTGCCCGGAAGCTAACTGCTGGTCATGTGTGCAGCGAACACAACACCCACGCTCACCGTCCCCCCGCGCTACCAGCATTGCGTTATTGCTGTCACACAACCCTAATGGGAGGAAGCCACCCAACATCGTGCGCGCCGAGGAGAGAGAGAGAGAGAGAGAGAGAGAGAGAGAGAAGTGTGAAGAGGGGGAGGAGATTGAGTGCGTGAAAGCGAGAGAGAGAGAGAGAGAGAGAGAGAAGAGAGAGAGAGAGAGAGAGAGAGAGAGAGAGAGAGAGAGAGAGAGAGAGAGAGAGAGAGAGAGAGAAGTAAGAACGAAGAACGAGAGACGTAGTACGACGTACGTACGTACGTACGTTACCGTTAGTCTTAGGCATTCGTTTTGCTGCAACAAAATGGAGAATCTGTCCCGTACGTTTTAGTGCTGGATTCTCCGGATTGCGCGGTCCGTTGTAAACGAGGAAACGATTTCGCCGATGCCAGCGCGAATGTACTGCTGGTACATTTGAGCTCAAGTTGCGTGAGTTTATGCGTCCCCCCCCCCTATAAATCGCGTAGGTATTCGCAAGGCCTATAAATGACAGATTTCCAATGTTTATTGAAGTCACACTCCTTCCCTATTCAAGAGCCTAATAAATAGTTAAATACCTAAACTATGTTAGCCTAATTAGTATATATATATCATAGGTATGTTATTAGTCTCTTGATATATATCATATAATATATCTATCAGAGAAGTTAATAATGCATTATACTAATATATAATATATGCATATACATTCTCCGCCAAAGTGTAATGACCACACGTCAGTGCTTTATCCTTGGGCGGAAAATCTAGCACGACCGGCATGCGTGAGGTCGCTAATTGCCCGGTGCATACCTCTGACTTACTATACGTCGGCGCCCAACACAGCTAGGCGATAGACTACACCGTACTATAGACACGCGCCTACCCGTATCATCGGCGCTGATTTACCTTTTCTGACGCGAATGACGCTCACGAGTGCCGGCATCGACAACTGGCGGAGCCTATTACGCGTGCGCTGATAAATGGGGCATCTTCGCGTGGCGTCGCCTCTCACGTGACGCGGAAACAAGACTCCACCCGCGCTCCCGACGGCAGACGACACGGAAATTGAAGACCCGTGTGTGCGTTCGTAGAGGCGTCAGTGTATGGGTTTACACACACGCGCGTCGTGAGCGCCGCACCGCACGCGTATGCAAACATACACTATGGGCACACACCACACGCAACAGCTCGCGACATACGCACACGCCACACATTACCGAGCTCATGTGGCACATACGTGCACCCGCACGCATAAACAAGCGCATTACCACACTTCCGATTTTCTTAGTTACCATTAGAGGACATAGACGCTTAAGAAAGTAAGAGGCAGCGATCGCTAAGCAAAGAATTTTGAGATAGGCTACAGCGTGAAGAAATGCATGTTCAACAAAAACAGACTACAGCTACAAAGCGTTGCTCGTCATAACAACTATTTTATTAATAATGCTCGGTGAACATGCTCCATCGTCATCGTATATCATCTTCGCCGGCCCATAATATTCATCATCAGCACGCAGATATCAGTGACGACCGCGCATGTTCGTGCTGACAGAGCCCGGCACAGGTTTTCGATACACCATAAATATTACGTTTGCCACTGCCTCATGCATCCATCAGCTACTTTGGTCACTAATTCATAGAAACACGGTTTAACGAATTTTCAAGCGCTCACAAGATCTGTCAATCACTTCCAATGCAATTCGTGGGTATGCCATGTAATGCACGCCGACGTTACGCTTCGAGTTACGCACATCTAAGTCGGTGAACGAAAAATGGTCAGTTGCCGGTGTTCTGTAGTACGTGTATATATGTACAGCGTTAGTACGGTAGTATAGACACATGTAGCTACGTGGGTATACACGCGTTAGTACACTTAGGTAGCGCTCTGTACTACGTACAGTACACGTTAAGCTACGTGTAGTTAGCCTCTAGCGTAGCTACGGTATGTACACGGTAAGCTACGTGAGTTTAGACCTCTGAGCTACACTTATAGCCCTGCTAAGCTACGCGCATGCTTTCACGCGTCGTGTAAATAAATTACAAACGTTACGCGGACATCTGCTTAAAAAACGTAGGGTAGGACTACATGCAATGTTTTCGTGACCTTGAACTCGCCGACAATAACAGCACAAACACATGTAGACACGTGGACAAGTCACGACTATATCATTTCGGAATACGTTTATCGTTTACACAATTGCACCTCCTTCCTTTCTCATAATATATAGATATATTAATTACATGAATACAAACATCTTCGTTTTATGACCACGGCGCACACGTAACAACATGGCGCGATCACTGTGATCGCTTATACAACCAATGAGAAACGCTCGCCGTGATTGCCCGCTCGAAATTCGGGCAGTTAAAAAAAAAGCGCTGGGCCGCGAAGGCAGAGGCGGCTGAATAGCGCGCACCGCACGCCGCACACGCACGCAACGCACCGCACGCACGCACGCACAATACACTCACACACACTTTCCATTTCAATGCTGCGCGACTCGAAGGCA